CCCCTGGGGGTGCAAGGAGAGCACCTCGTAAAGATCCACCCAAAAGATTGTCAGGTGATATGAAGCAGCATGAACCTACGTGTATTCCAGCGAGTGGAAAGAAAAAATTTCCTATGAGGGCCTGCAGAGTTTGTGCCGCCCATGGAAAAAGGAGCGAATCTAGATACTTATGTAAATTTTGTTTGGTCCCTCTTCATAGAGGAAAATGTTTTACGCAGTACCATACGTTAAAAAAGTACTAGGAACTTTAATTGTTTAATTGTTTAAGTAAATAAAAATGTTATAATTATTGAAAAACAACACCTAAAGTGCATTATGATCTGTAGTTATGATGATTTAAATAACGTGCAGTTTGCCCAAAAACGTGTGGTCCCTGGTGTATGTCTTAGAGATTTCTATGCGGTACGAAATGTGTTAAGAGGAAATTTGCACAGCTTGGCTCAAATAACTACAAGGAAAGAAAATGATAATGCCCCGTTCCAAGGTTGTAGGTTTTAAAGACAGAAGGGCAACAGAAAGTGTGGTTGCACTTTTAAAGGCTGCAACCAAGCAGAACAATGTGAAATTAGGCAAGAGGAAAGCTGGCCTGCTCCCAGCGGCATTTTCTCAGCAGGAAGATCATTACCGAGAGGCAGTCTCCCCGGGGCCGCTGGAAATGCTTGGCTGCTGTGTCATTTCACACTAAGTACATAAAGCTGCCGCAGGCGTGACCTGACGTCTCCTGCCTCTAATTTCTGTGATTTAAAGGTTCTGTGCTATTACCCAGCATGAGGCATTGCTTGTGCGTGATTCCATTTGTAAAATGACCCTACAGGTGTTTTTCGGAGCTTCCACCTGGGCAGAGCTCTTTATGTCCCCGCACCTATGCAGTGAGATTCTAGATGAGAACATTCAGCGTCTCGGGTTTGGGGGTTAAACAGGAGGAAAGAAATTAAGAGCAAGGGAAACTGGAGGAAAGGTGAGAAGATCATTACTCTCTAGTGAGTCTCTCCGCATCTAAATGGAATTTTGATTTACACACCACGTTCCTGTAAGAAAGCTGTACCGAGTGCAGAAACACTGCACATTCATTTTCCTGTTGGCAAGGCTAATTTCACCCTAGTTTATTGGCATCCTCAGGTTGTAATAGCATTCTTGAAGAAGTAACAGGGCGGTGAGAATCTTTGAATGGCACCAATTATGTCTGACTTGTTAAAAGTCTTTTAACGACAATTTCTGGGATGCAGTCTGTGTGTGCCCTTTACCTGATCTGTGTAGAGCTTGCTCTTTTGGTCCAGATGGTCTTGGATACCCAAGATGACAAACCTGCAGAAAGCAGCCCTTGCTGGTTTTCAATGATAAGTACAAGGTTTAGCCCAGGGGTGGGCAAACTTTTTGACTTGAGGGCCACAATGGGTTCTTAAACTGGACCGGAGGGCCAGAACAAAAGCATGGATGGAGTGTTTGTGTGAACTAATATAAATTCAAAGTAAACATCATTACATAAAAGGGTACGGTCTTTTTTGTTTGTTTGTTTGTTTTATTCATTTCAAACGGGCCGGATCCGGCCCGCGGGCCGTAGTTTGCCCATGGCTGGTTAGCCTGACTCTTCCCCCTGTTGTGGGTAATTGTGAATGGGACCCATCGGTACATGAGAGAATATCGCTGGTTCATCAGGGTCCAAAGCTGAGTTTGGTAGACAGAATAAAACCTTTTAAACTGGATTTAATGTTTTAGGCTCTAGAAAGATAGTAAGGGGGCTTCACCAGTTACTCAGCAAGACTATCAGTGAGCATTGGGGCTCCGGGTGAATAAAAAC